CCCCAAAACCCCAAAACCCCAAAACCCCAAAACCCCAAAACCCCAAAACCCCAATTAAGTTTAAATTAATTTATTTTGACAAGAAAATTTTAAATGAAAGACAAAAACAATGATTCGGAAGAATCTCCAGATCATAAATGGTGAAAACAAGAAGCTGATGCTATGGGAATTACAGGAGATGTAATTAGGAAAGTTCAGACCAAAGTTGATGAGAGAATTGAAGATATTTTGTTGCAGAAATAAACTTACACCTTACTCGGCTGCTAGAACAGTCCAGACACTGGTCTTTCTTTCTCACACACAAACCATGCTTCCAGATAGACGCTACGACGATCATCTCATCACCTCCTCACCAGAGCCTAAGCCTTCTGGCTGGGATCAACACTCTGGCTTACTCCCTAAGCCCCATAGAATGCCTTATGTTAAACAGGCAACCAAGATAAAGAGTTTGAAGAAAATGAAGTAAGCTTAATTAATTTCTATTTTCAGGACATCAAGTCAAAGATCAACAACCAAAAGACCTAGCAACGCATTTCAATAAAACTAACTGCCCAGATCATGGCCATAAACAGCGTTAAATACAAGCGTGAACAATTCCTTAACGTGACTAGACCAGAGTATAAGCTAGAAAAATTACAGAAGAGTGATCCAGAACCAGAAGAGAACGAGCATTTTAAAAGAGTAAGAACTTAATCAACAAGCATCTCACGGGTTACTTTACTCGCTAAATGAAGCTCCTTAGATTTAGCCTGATCTACACTTTGTTAGAACTCTTTATCATATTAATACATCATTAAAAAATCTAAAATTATGCTTACTAGTGTCTTTTTACAACCAAATTTGTCTCAAGATATCACAGGATGATTACTGCTTACACACTAATTTTCACTCTTAGATCTTCAGACACAAGAAGAACGAGGAAGACAAAGAGAAGGAAGATAATATTAAGAAGAATGAAGCTGCTGTAAAGGAAAATAACCCGAAGAATTTTATCATCTATGATAACGGTACTTCAATTAATTTCATCCTTTAGGCACATATTTTAAGCAAAAGAAAATAAACTTAGAAAAATGCCCTAAATTGATAGGAGATTCAGCCAATTCGAAGTTAAATGAAGGAGAAAAGGTGCATAAAACCTTCCTTTCCTCCATGAAATTTGAATACTTTGATATTGACAAAGATCGTGATGTTAAATTATCACTAAATGATGATGCCTCGAGTACGATGTCTAAGCATCATAAGGCTCAGACACAGATTGATTTCACGAAGGAAACCATTAATGAGCAGAAGCAGACAATTCTTGATATCTCTCCTACCTATGGAGTTTGAGTTGACATAATCCATGCAAAAACTCCTAAGAATAAAGCAACATTAATCAAGAATCCTCGATATAAGATGAAAGGCAAGAAGTATGTAGATAAGCCATTCATGAAGCGAAAAATGACTCGAGAAGAGTACCAAGATATAAGAAAGAAACAGAGCTATTCCCTGACCAATAAATAGAGACTTTACAGCTTTAAGAAAATGAACTAACCGAGACCCAACCTCGCAGCAAAAATCCAGGAATAATAGCCAAACAGTATACTTTCGTAACTCTGGAGTCTCTAGATCAGGTAGTAACAATATACAGAGAATCTCATCCAAAACTGGTAAGAAGCTAAAACAATTTCAACCTTAGGGTTCAAGCCAAGGACCAGCAGTGGAGGACGAGCCAAAGAGCAATCCTCTATTTCTCCTAAGAACCAAGACCGGATTACAAAAGCAATGACTCTACTAACAGATAAACACAAAAACGACCACCTTGAATACCTCCAAGAGTTTGGTGGGAACACAATTTTCAGCCAAAAAATCGTGAATAGTCCTTCCCAAGTGACTTCTCAATATGTGAATTACAACAGAAGTAGAGGTACCAGTCATTTATTTTGAAAATTTATGTTACTAAGCTACCTAATACATGTATGCTTATGCTATGGACTATGTGCTTTTTGGCAGGTAGAACTACTTGAGAGCATGCTAACATTTTAAAGCATGGGGGTCATGACTAACTGTAATATAGGTCACTCTTACAATAGAACTGTAGGGTCAAAAGATAGCATGTTTCCGAAGGGAAATTATAGAAGTATGCACTTATTGTTATTCGTGTTTTAGATTAAAAATTACTTAAGTTTTATATAGCACACATTAATGGACAAAATACTGAAGGATTATTCAATAAATCAGCCAATGCAGTGTTCAATGTCTCCAAAGTACACAAAAATCTGAATAAATCGACTGGCTTTCATCCTTCTCAAAAGCACTCAAAGCCTAAATTTATGATTGCTCAGAGAAAAATTTACACATCTGGGACACAGAAGAAAAATTCAATTGTGGTAAAGAACATATATTAAAATAAGGCTCAAAGGTCTCTAGAGGAGAATTTTGAACTCTCTTAAAACTCATAGCATCTTCACCTTTATAATTCACAGGATTAGGTTTCTGAGGGAAAGTTTGAATAGATTTAAATTTGCAGGCCAAATTATTGCTTTTACATAATGACTAAATTCTGTCATTTCAGAGATTTCAAACTCTCTTCTATCAATATCTGTCTTAATCTCTATCACAGAATACACCCTTCAGTCACAATCGCCGGAGGATAGCTGGGCAAAGGCTCATCAACAAGTGGGACAAAGAAAAGGTGATATGTAAGTTACCCTGTCTTTAAATAATAAAAAACTGCTCCTCAATATCTAACAATACAGCGTAGTAACTAGCAACAATAAGCTCTAACTTAATCGCCAGGAAGTATCTTAAATATTGCCACTTTCCTGAGGAAGTGTAGTTCTGGAGGAAGTTTTACCCCTCTTTCTTGTAAGAAAAGGGACTACTATCCTCGGCCTCTCAATGTTTTCCTCAAAAATTTTTGTTCCTTTCAATTGACAGAAGAGAAAGATTTTGCAAGGTTTCACACATTAATGAAATTACACAAGATTAAGCTTTTGTGAGTGTCTGATAAAGAGAATGTTAGATAAAGATTGAGATAGTTTTCTTGATATTTGAGTTTTTAGTGTTAAAGATCTCTAGTTAATAGATTGGCTAGAACTTTTATGAAATCTTCATATTTAGTGATATTATAGCTCCTCCACCTCCATTAGGCCAGACAATGGGTCATGGGATAATGAACTTAAGAAATCCTAAACCTCCAATCCAGGATATTCTTAAAAACATAGGTGAAATTGAAAGCATCCCCTCCTCATCAGCAGTTAAGAAGGGATCCAAAAATGCACAAAATATATTTGCTAATTCAATTTATTAAAATCCCTCAGGGGTTTTGGGGTTTTGGGGTTTTGGGGTTTTGGGG